TACTGCTGTGATTTCTTCACATTTCTGCTTATTTATCGATTTTTTATGTACAAATATGAATTTCAAAGGCGTACGCCTATTTCACTCAAATACACTGACTGACTGACGATTAAGACTAAGGCGCCACTCATCACACCATTGTTGCAAGCGATTCAGATTGTCTTGTAACTGTAGCGAGTCTTCCGGCTGCTCTATTGAATTCCACAATTTGAGGTCATTGACAAATATTGCGCGGTCGCAGTCCAGGCAATCGTTCACATATATTAAGAACAGAATTGAACCCAGAACGCTCCCCTGCGGAACGTCACTGTGCACGGATGCCCAGTCCGATTTAGCGTTTCCGATACACACGCGCTGAGATCCGCCTGTAAGAAAATCGGCTGGCCATTTCAGCAGATTTCCATTCACGCCCATATGACGTAGTTTAAATATAAGTAGTCTGTGTGTAACACTGTCAAAAACCTTTCTGAAGTTAATGTACACGGTGTCGACTGATAAACCCATGCCGACCGATTTTGTTCACCTCTCCATGGTTACTAGCAGGTTATTGAGACAGGGTCGACCCCTTCGAAATCCATGCTGATGCAAATTGAGCAAGTTTTTTTCTTCAGGATGCCGCATTAGTTCCGTTTTTATCACCCTTTGCATCATATTGCAACAGATGCTTGTGAGACTCGCTGGTCTGAAACTATGTGAGGCTGTGCTCTCCAAACCTTTATATATGGGGCTTATATTTGCTTCCTTCCGGTCGGTAGGCAGAGCCCCGGCTTCCATCGAAGTTCTGCAGATCCTGGAAGCGGAGAGGCCAGTTCAATTCAATTCAATTCAATTATTTTTATTAAAGACCCGTCGGGGTCCCATCAAAGCAAGTAAAAATAAATTTACATGCGAATTTTAGACGAGGTAGGCAAAATCTGTACAAAGGGCAAAACATAGTTTTTGAGATTAGAAGTCCGTTAAGCAAAATGAAAATGAAAAAAACGAGGGGTGAAAAAAAACTCCAAAGCAAAATTTAAAAATGATTGTAGTAATTTAACAGGAGAAAAAAAACCCTCAGAAAAATAGCATCAGAAAAATGCAGGGAGGACTGGCCTGCATGTGGCGGTACAGAATGGAATATAGTCCGACATCAACATGGCCGAAATAAATGTCAGCTGTATATGGCATTGTGTAACGGATTTCATAAAATGGTACGTAGGCAGGTCGGTCAGGACTGGCCTGTATCGCCTTGAATAAGAAAAATAAGTGGCGNACTAGTATATGGCTAATATAGAAGGCTTCGCCAAGAGCATCGATGAAGCGCATTCAGTGAGGGCATCATGAAGATCAGTCTCGAGGCGATAGGAACCCAGATGCGGTCGATTACATTCATCCGAGTCCAACCGAGGATGGGGGAAGGGAGATGCGACCAAACTACTAGTATATGGCGAATACAGAAGGCTTTGTCAAGATCGCCGATGGAGCGCATTCTGTAAGGGCACGATGACAACCAGTCTCGAGGCGAAAAGGCCCCAGATGCGGTCTGTTACATTCATCAGAGTCCATCCGAGGATAGGGCAAAGGAGATGCGACCAGATTACTAGTATATGGCTAATATAGAAGGCTTCGCCAAGAGCATCGATGAAGCGCATTCAGTGAGGGCATCATGAAGATCAGTCTCGAGGCGATAGGAACCCAGATGCGGTCGATTACATTCATCCGAGTCCAACCGAGGATGGGGGAAGGGAGATGCGACCAAACTACTAGTATATGGCGAATACAGAAGGTTTCGCCAAGAGCGTCGATGGCGTGCATTCTGTGAGGGCACGATGCATGAACTAAAAAATTGGAATAATTAACATTTCTGGTGAGGGATCTTAGGTAGCGAGACTACTCATAAAGAAACGTGAACAGATACGGAAATTTAATAGCGGCATGCTAAATTCCCGGTGGACCTTTCTCAGTGTCATAGGAAAAGTTGTCTGGGAAGGATGAGGAAAATAAAAGTTTAATCGAGTCAGTATTCAGATAAAGGCGTAGCCTTCTCTTAAAGGTGTGTAGATTTTCTGAAGATCTTATATTTATTGGAAGGTTATTCCAGAGGAAAGTATACCTGGAAGCGAAAAAAAGGGAGCGCTTAGAGGTGGAGGACGCTGGAAGAGGTATAATTAGAGACGAATTGCGAAGATTGTATGGGCGACTACTAGGGGTAAGTGCTGAAATCCGAGGAAAATTTGAACTATGATTAATGCGAAAGAGGAGACAGAAGCCCGCTTCTAGTCTTCGAACCCATAAAAATTTTAGGTTAGTTAGTTGGCATCTATCTGAGTAGGAGATATTGGGATGTTCCCTATCTAAAAGTTTTTTTGAAAAACGTCTTTGGACATTTTCAATTTTTAAACGACTGGCTTCATTCATCAAACCAAAGAATGGGCAACAATACTCGAGAATGGGAAGTACAAACATACGATAGAGCCTTAATTTAATTTCAGGAAGATAGAAATTGTAAGAAATAAAGCCACAAATCTGAGCAGCTTTGGCTGTAATTCTGTCAGCGTGCGGCGAGAGATCAAGATTACTAGTGTAGCTTAAACCTAAATCCTTGATGGTGGTACATTCAGTCATAGGTGTTCCTTGAAAGACCACAGGTTGGGGTAGCCTATCAGGTCCAAAACACATATAACGACATTTAGACGGAGAGAATTCCATTAGCCATTTTGAGCTCCAAGCTGAGAGAGCAAGCAAGTCAGCATGGATTTGCTCCAGGCAATGAAGGCTCGTAGATTTTTTAAAAGAATATACACATTTGAGATCATCGGCATAAATAAATGATTGAGAATGTTTAACTGCGGCTGAAATATCATTTATGTAAAGTAAGAACAAAAGAGGACCTAAAACGGTACCTTGTAGGACACCGCTTACAATAGGACTTTCACTGGAAAGTGAAGATCCCACCAAAACCTTTTGTTTACGATTAGACAGGTATGACCTCGGAAAGTCTATTAGTGGACTGCGAATTCACATAGCTTCCAATTTAACCAAGAGTCTTTTATGTGGCACTTTATCAAAGGCTTTACTAAGATCAAAATAAATTACGACAACAGATAGGTGATCATTACGAAGAGAGGTAAGTAGATCGAGAAACGACAGATGACATGTTTCACAAGAGCGATCTGGTAAAAAACCATGTTGGGAAGGGCTAATAACTTGATTGGCTATGCAAAATTCGGTAATTTTTATGGCGATAATTTTTTCAAAGATTTTGGCGAGAGAGGGTGTTTTATGGACACCTCGATAGTTCTGTACGTCAGAACGACAGCCAGACTTAAATACAGGAATAATAATAGAAGTTTTCCAATAGTCAGGGAAGAAGCCATTTACGAGAAATACTGAAAAGATTTTGCTAAGCAGAGGAGGAAAATCTCTTAGCTGTTTTATCAAAGAGTTTGGGATATTGTCCGCACCTACTCAGTGAGAGTTAGGAAGATGGCTTATCAGCTTTTGCATACATTCAGGAGAAAAATTAATGAAGCTAAGAGAAGCATCAGACAACGAAGGAATTAAAGGGATCGGATTAGTTTTAATGGTGAAATGCTTGGCAAAGAACGAATTTAAAATTTATGCTTTGCCTGACTCCTCTGTAATGAAGGCATCACTAGCACTAAGGAAGGGCGGAATGACTTGGTGGGACTTAGTAGATGATCTCTGACGGAAGATCTGAGCAACTGATTTAGAAGAAGTTGGTCTGAGAGTTCATTCAGAACTTTTGCGAACACGCCGTCCGGGCCAGGGGATTTAGTGGGCGGTAGTTGACTCAAAGTTTTCCTTATCGTGTCTGTTGTGAAGTCCACCGTGCTAAGCGTATTTTGTGAGTTGACAATTGGGGAGTAAACTCTTTCATCAAAAGCCGGCTCATCGGTAACACAGAAGTGAAGAAATTGGACAGTATATACGCCTTATCTGAATTGTCAGACAACGTATTTCGCTGGCGATCTTTTAGACAGGGAATGCAGTCCCGGTTGCGTTTCGCCTTATTCACATATCCAAAGAATTTTTTCAATTTTGCGGGATACTTTTAAGAATTTGTGACTCAAATTCTGTTCGTTCCCTCCTCAGCAGATTCCGACATATATTTTAAAGTCAGTAAAGTGCTCTGGTTGTTGACATCTGGCGTCCTTTTTCCAAAGTCTAATGTTCTTCTTTATTTCTGAAGTCCCCCACCCTGATCGGTAAGTGCGCGGTTTCCTCTTAAGTGGGCAACAGCTCTCTGCCAGGTGCTGCATCGTGTTCTTGAAGAAGACCCAGTCGCTTTCTGGGCCAGGTGCTTGTGCAGCATTACAGTTCGCCGTCTGTAGCAGACTTTTCATTCGGGGATAATCCCCTTTCCATGCGGGTGCAGAAAAATGACTATACTCCCAAACAAAAATGCTGTAGTCACTTCAGCCAATGCGCGTGTGGGAGTCCAAGTAACTCCCGTTTGACTGCTCTTTGACCTCGTGACGACGGTTTAAGTGAGTAGGTTATTAAAACGACAAGGGCCTTCTGTTTCTCGACACTCGAAAGGAGCTGCCTATTCAGGAAGTATCGAAAGGATTCACTCTCCTTACTGGTCCTTCTGATGCGGAATCTCGGGACCACATATTTGTCCCCATTAAGATTGTGGAGCCGAAGAGCTGGCCAGCTGCTGAGTCGATTGGGACTCTCTTGAAGTGCGTGCTCTTCTGCGTCAAATCAGCCGGTTCTCCACAGTTTAACATCGTCATCAAACATGATGGTGCTGCGTCCCAGGTCGTCGATGCAGTCGTTGATGTAAACTGGAAAGAACAACGGCCCTATGACTGAGCCCGGGGAGATACCACTTATGAGGGGGATGGGAGATAACTTCGAGGCATAAACACACGCAGTTTGAGATCGCCCTGTAAAAAGTCTGCGATCCACGCCAGCAGGTTCCTTATTATTCCAAATTCTGACAGTTTGTAATTTAGGCGTTTGTATGGGACGACGTTGAAAGACTTCTAAAGATGTTTGTCGGTGACATCGATCCTACCATCCTCGTCCAGAGAGCGAGTCCACTGCTTGTCGAGAGCAGTTCTGTCCGAAGCCGTGCTGGAGTCTCAAGAGTAGGTGGTTCTGTTCCAGGAACTTCATTGTTGCTCTCTTAATTATGATTTCGATTATTTCACTGCAAATGAGGGTGAGACTAACGGGCCAGTAATTGTTGACAAGGAAAGTTCAGCGCACTTCCGCCCACGCTAAGCCGCGTCGTGTCACAACTGGAAATGTAAACGCATCTCACGGACACCTTTGTCCTTTGCCCTTTGCTTTGAACTAGATGATAATTTCTCTTTCGCCACGTTTGACATGTCTAGATGTCCGTCGTCGTTGGTAGTTTCCCACTTTTCAGTGAACGGCCGTTGCGAACTTTATTGCACGAGGCTGATGACAAATAATTACAAACGTCCATTTGCCGGTTTTGCCTTTTCAAGGTTAAGGTAAGTATGGCGACAACCCGCCTTCGTTCGGTGTTTTGTTTTAGTCAATCCACAATGAACCATCCAATGATATTGGGCCACTCCAACGTATGCCGGTTAAATGCCCGACGTGTGTTGCTGTCGCGCGATCATGTTCGGCGTTTTGGCTGTCTTTCTTTGTGCACAGGTGGCTTGTGCTGCCGATGTCTTGCCCCTAACGACTCATGATTTTGATAGTAAACTCAAGGAAAATGATATAACACTTGTAAAATTCTACGCACCATGGTAACTCACGACGGATATAATTACCAGCTCGTTAGGTGTGGACATTGCAAACGCCTAGCACCAGAGTTTGAGGCGGCAGCCTCACAGCTGAAAACAAGCCGACCCAACGTTCAGCTGGCCGAAGTCGACTGCACCACCGAGAAGGATTTGTGCGATCGTTTCGGAGTTAATGGCTATCCAACACTAAAAATATTCCAAAAAGAAGATATCGGGTCCCCAGAGGACTACGATGGGGGACGAGGAAGAGGTACATTCGCCTGTTTTCAGCGTCACTTTCTTTAGACGATATAGTTAATCACATGACTATGTTTGCAAGTCCAGCCTCGATTGAATTCACATCTCTCGCCGAGATGAAGAATCTTTTGCCCGTTGATCGACCCGTTGTTACAGCACAGTTGATAGGGGATTCGGATGCTGTGGATGAGTTTCACAAGTGCGCCAAAAAACTTAAGCGCGTGGCTACGTTCATGCACACTAGTGAGAAAATCCTCGATGGCGCCAAGGACCTGTACTCCTGCCCCTTCTTTAAATTGAATTACACCAACTTTTTAGTGTGTTGCAGTTACGGACGCCGGAGCGGTACCGCTCGAAGCTCGAACAGGATATTCTTTCCTACGATGGAGAGTTCAGTGCCGATGTTCTGGAATCTTGGATCACACAGAACGCGTAAGAGTCTGCCTATAAGTAGATTTTGTTTTCAGGTTTGGTGTTGCTGGAGTGAGAGATACCGAAACTGCGAAGTACATGTCGGAACTCCCTATGGTTATTGTCTATACTAAGATCGATCTGGACCGTGCTCCAGCTGACTTCCGCTACTGGCACAATCGTATAGTTAGGGCGGCTCAGGAGAGCGGAACCAAAATGAAATTTGCTGTCAGCGACCCTTCACTTTTCTACCAGGAAGTTTCTGATCTTGGGATAATGGACATCGACAAGCGGAAGACGCCACTTGTCACCATCACTAACAAGGAGGGTCAACATTTCCTCATGGATGAAGACTTCAGGTAATTACCCGTTGTCATACATTACGTCGTTTTCAGTGTCGAGTCGGTCAAAAAGTTCCTCGAGAAATTTTCGGCCGGGTTGCTGGAGCCCTACGTCAAATCTGAACCGATACCAACTCAGAAAGATGGACACGTCACAAAGGTGGTCGCGAAGAACTTTGATGAGGTCGTGCTTGATCCGAATGTGGACGTTTTGATCGAGTTCTATGCACCTTGGTGCGGTCATTGTAAACAACTGAAGCCGAAGTACGATAAATTGGCGGAGAAGCTGTCGTCCGAGAAAAACGTTGTAATAGCTGCCATGGATGCTACAGCCAACACAGTGTCACCATTATTCTCAGTCACTGGCTTTCCAACTATCTATTGGGTTCCCAGGAACTCGAAAGGCAAGCCTGTTATGTACCAGGTAATTTCACGTTAATCTACTAAATGTCTGCTGCCAGGGCGACCGATCTACGGAGGCCATGTTGGCATATGTCGCAAAACATGCTACAAATGAACTGACCGGTTACGATCGCAGTGGCTCCCCGAAGAAAGTTGAATTGTAGCGGGCTTCATCTCGCTGGACCGCATTCCCCATTAACGCACTGCCCCACTGTTTTACTTTTGGGACTTGACTTTGTGTTCTGGTTTTCACCGGTGTATAGTTTCTAATATGCAAATAACTTCAGCCTGTTGCCATCCCAGATCGGAGCTTTGTTTTGCTCCTCGTCTGGGTTTTTTGTCTGGGCACAAGTTCGTTTTTGACGATGGAATACAATGATACCTCTCGGCGATTACACTGTGCAAGAAAGCTGGCGTTCGGCTAAACAGTTTATCGCAATTTTCCCCGTGTTCTCAGCTTCCTGCTTCAGGAATCCCGTTTTTATTCGGGTTGAACAATTCTGTATGACCCTATGCTACAGTGACTCTTGCTGCGTCCGACCTTACAGTCCTCACTTCTTGTATGCACGTAGTTGCTTAGTGTGCCACACTACTTGCCCTCGTTTAACCCAAACAGTATTATCGGCTAATGCCGCTGGTTACGGCTATAGAGACTTCGTGGCCGCATACGCCGTCCTTGTGCTGCCTAGAATTAACTCCTGGAGCGGTTTCAAATATCACGTCTTTTCAAAGCCCATTTAGACTGGAAGCGTCCTGTGTAGCTGCTAGTTATCGAAACTCGAGCACGTGCACGCATGTTTGCGGTCCTAGTTCCCTTTAGAGACGTACTCTGGTCGTCTGGATCCGATCTTACGCTCGTACGACTTATCCCAGCCCCGTGTTTCACTGTGCTTTTAGCTCGTTATCCAGGTTTAAGTAAGAACTTTTCCGATCGTTCTTGAGTACGAAATCGCCGTTCTTAGGCACCCACTCGTTTGCAACAGCGCTTACAGGTCTTGGGAAGCTATTTTTGAGTCAGTTTGGGTTCGTGACTGGGGTCACACACGCCATCCACGACAAAGGGATCCAAGAACTTAATGTTTGTGCCCATGTGCTATGGCTGCCGTTTAGTCATTTTCGTTAGGTGGTAGGCTTGCAGTGGCCATAGGAGTTCCGGTAGTCTTGACTCGCGAGGGCCGGCATACGGGTTGCTGGGTAGTGAAGCCGCACAAGTCAGGTCAGATACTTGGTTTTTGTGCTTTTCCACAGGGGCAGGCGTCCCCCACTCAACGGTCCACCTGACAAGGTCGCTACATATTACTGCGTGTGGACGTGCGCAGATGTCCGGGCGTATTTCAAGCGCCGCACAGGCAACTAATCACAAAGCTCATCAGGTCCGTCGAGCAGTTGTATCAGTCTTCGACGCTGGCACGTTCTCGTGTCGGTTGGATGACGCAGTTACTTTCACACCCGACTAGGACCCTCTTGTTGCCCATACGGAACCTTGAAAGAATCGAATCAGTCCCTCCGCTATTCGGTATTCGGCCCAGTGGGGTGTTCATACGCAAGTGTCGCTCGCTGCTTTGACTTGATTACATCTGAGACGAGCGTTTCCGTGTTTTCCGACACCACGTAGGCGGCCACATTTGTTTGCGGTTTCATTAGCTCATGGAAAGCAACTTAGAGCTGGGGACCCCGGCGTCTCCGCTCTTGCTGTTAAAAACCTCGAGTCCAATGACGGTCTGTACTGTCCACCGCCCGTTTCAGGCAAGGAGTTATTGTAAATTATGCCGAGAGGCACTGACACGAGTATTTTAGTGCATTGCGTGTCAGAGCGGTAACACGATTCTAGTAAGCTGTTGGTCCCGCCTTCACTCACAGTTAGTTAGGAAGCCACTAAGGAGGAGCCACCGCAGTCTGACTCCATCAGCCGGCCACTCAACTCACAAACACGACTGGGCCGACTGCGTGGTCTGGGTTGGAGCGTCAGTTGGCAGCCCAACAAGCCACGGTTCTTAGCACACCATAATAGCTGCAAGCACGTCGGACTGCCTGTAGCAGGGAGGACGCGCTGGCAGTCGATCTGACTCACTCTACCCTATCCTGTGCACCGGTCGACTGTCCGAGACGTTCGACCAACTGGTGCTAAAATTGGTAGAGGTGATTAACAAAGCTGAGAACGGACCGTGTGCGCATGTCACACACGACCTGTTCTCCATACACACCGGGATTCCAGGCACAAGGGGGGTAGGCCACTCGGGTCTCACGTACAGCAGGGGATCCACATGAAGAAAGGAGCCGTAGAGCACACTTCCACTTGTTTGAGAGGTGCCCGTGTTGTAGGATGTTGACGTTAATGCGTGATGCAGGTGTTGGTGCGGAGATGCGCGGTGGGGTGGTTATTTCTGCAGTTAATTGCCGCAGGTTTTTGTGAATGCGCATGTGACTGAATAGGCACATGTGATGGCTGAGTGCGTTGGGGCAATGCGTGCAATTGAGGCGATGGTGTCTGGTGTATTTCGGTGATCCAGACACTGGTTCGTCAGTCTCTGTGCGATGGACTCACAAGTGACAGACCAGGCTGATACGCGAAGCGAAGGTGCGATGACAGTGTGGACAAGATAGACTGGGGGATCGTGGGACGGCTGTCGTGATGTTGCTAGTAGTGGGCAGGCTGGTCGATGGGGAGTTGATTGGGCTGGGGATGGGAGAGTTGTTGGATATGAAAGATGTGTTAGGTGTGCTGATATTGCGGCGAATTCCGCTGTTGCAGATATGCATGTGACCGAATAGGCCCATGCGGCGTGTGAATGCACGTAGACAGTGAAGGCGGATGCGTCGAATGTATGTGGAGGGCTTCTGGTACTGATGCGCCGGTCACAGTGCCGTGAGTTCGCAAGTGACCGATCAGGCCGATGCGTGGGGTGAGTATGCGATCGCAATGAGGACAGGTTAGGACCGAGTCCACATCGCTGGAAGTAGGGGTGACAATGTTGAGGGTAGAGATTGTCGGGTCGCCGGGAGCGTTTTAGTCGGTGGCGTTGAGGAGGATGCGGGAAAAGATCTTCCGGCGATGTTTGTCGTTGAGCTTCCTTTGGGGATATCACAGGGTTGCCGGTTCCCTTTCCGGTTGCAGACATAGACGATTGTTGCATCGCCAATAGAAACGGAGAGACAAGTCCCAGGAAGCAGTCGTGAAGAAGGAGACATGATCGCTGGGACGAGAGCTTTATTTACTCGACGTTTCGGATTCCTGCTCGAGCCCATCGTCAGAGACAAAAGCAGGTACGGGTGGTTCATGCACAAAGGGGCTGCAGTATTTGTAGGAAGCAGTCGCCATGCTACCATATACCTATAAATACTCACGCCTCCCCCACTTCATCAAGGATTGTTGCACTTGGTGTGATGACTGTTTAATGGCCGATATTCGCGTCGTTAATGGCTGCAATTCCATCACGGATGTTGGATGTTTATGTGCTTTCTGCTCGAACAACTGATCCACCGATCCTGGCGTTGGGAACAGTGTTCGCCTGTGGGCTCCCTGCTCCGTTGGAAGCGCTGTTCCACCGAAGCTGGGACGTGACGCAGTTCCTTTGGCTTGGGTCCGTAGATCGTCTTAATTAGAGCGAAGAAGTCCTTGATTCCATTACGGTCAACATATCCATGGATTTCCTCGCCCTTGTGAGTCATCCAAACTTCCGGAATTCCCCCACTTGGTGCTGCACGATGCGACGAAAGCGGGAGAAGGACTCCTTGTTTGCGTCGGTCCGATAAGACATGTAGGCTTGGTGCAGCTTGTGCTTTTCGTCCCGCAGGTTGCGGATGTTGGCGTTGTTGTCGTCGAACCACTCCTAGTGTTGGCGACTTGCGCGTCCGAGGACGTCGAAGGCAGCAGATCGGATGGTATCCCGTAATTGACACCACCGAGTCCCCACAATGGCGCTGTCATCCGGGGCCGGCAGATCTTCCAGGTGCTGGACTAGTTCGTTGCTGAAATGTAGGCAGTTAGCTGGCAAATTCAACAGAACACTATTTACCTAACCTGGTTGGCGCTTACTGTATGGTTTCTTGTTGGGCTTTAGTTGGAGACTCATCTTGGAGATGACGAAGCGACAATCCGTCCAGCCGTTGGTGTTGCAGATCGCCTTGGTCACCAGTTCGTCCTGTCGATCTCGCCATCGAACAAGAACGTGGTCCAGTAGTTTCCTGCGCTGCAATCGGGGATGTATCTAGGTTGCATTCTTCTGTGTCTGCAGGCGGAAGGTGGTGGTCAGCAGGAGGCGGTGTTCCGCACAGGCCCGAAGGAGAAAGCGGGCGTTGTCGTTGCAGCCGCCGATTCCATTGGGGCTCAGCACTCCTCCCAGACAGCGCAGTCTGTCACGATGTGGGCGTTGAAGTCATCAAGAACAACCTGCTTGTCCGCCTTCGGCACAGACGCCAGAAGGGTGTGCAGGTCTTTGTAGAACTTAGTCTTCGCCTCGTCGGAGTTGGTCCTTATTGAGGCGTAGACACTGACGACGGTGGCAGATTTGGCTCTCCGGAGGGTGGGAGGCATCTTGGGTCTCAGTTGGCGCGGCCTGATTGTGCAAATAGGTTTGCTACAGCACCCAAACTTTCAGCATTCGTTATGGGTGCGCATCGCCAATAAAACCTGCCGGACTCCTACCTTGCCCCTGTGTTTGTCTGGCCCTCTAGCGCGTGACCCATCTTAAGGGCCCAACACACAGACACACGACCGTTTTGAGAACCATGACCGAGGATTTCCACCATGTACTCCACAGCAGAGTGAGAGCAGGGATGGTGACTTGCGCGTGAATGAGCTTACAGTGATAGTAGACTTACGCAACATCTACCGCAATCTCTCCTCGCTCTGCCTGTTTCCCGTATCAACACATAATTAGGAGGACCAGAGGCACGGGGTGTCGCAGATGACTGGCACAACGAATGCACGCACTCAATTGTACCACCACACCCCTGGTCCACAATAGACACCGATGAGGATTTAACACTGCAGGAAAAAGGTGCGACGGCATGGAACCGAATTGGCACGATGTGGGCCTGGAACTAGGCCTACCGACACACCCCAAATGTTGGCATTTTTTATGGGTGCGCATTTCCGATAAAATCATCCGGATTCCGATCCAGCTCCTGTGTTGCTCCAGCACCTTTACTGTGTGGCCCCTTGTAAGAGCAGTTCAGCCGTCTTTTTCGACGATGTTTATCGTCTGCTCCATAGGAAGCTGCAGGTAGAGACTGTGATTTCCGCGTGAAATTGTTTATAGTGATAGCACACCTGCACAGCATCTACTGCACTTTCTCCTCGTCCACCTGCATCCGGTGTCAAGACAGAGTCAAGAATATCGGAGACGTGGGAGAGCGCAGGTGGTTGACGCGACGTAGTCCCCCACCTAGGCTTTCCACCACACTAAGCGATATTTAAGATAAGGGGATGTCGGCGGAGTCACCGCTTTGCCCACTACAGTTTCTTCCAGTGAGATTTTAACATTGCTCCAAGGGACTTACTAACTCGCAGTTTATGCCTCTTGTGGATCAGTACCTACGGTGGGTTACCTATCACGTGTGACACATCAGGGTCTTGTTATCAAGCATGGACTTTTATGGGTTCGTTTCCGCCGGTGAGCAGTCTCAAGAAGGCAGATTTTCCAACACCATTGTGTCCAACGATGACAATGCTCAGTGAGAGATCAGTGTCGAAGTTTACGTCCTTAAAAAGAGCTCTTGCTCTGGATAGGCAAAGGAGGAGTTGTTAAGACTGAAAAATAGCGGAGTGGCGGTGGACGGAGGAAGTGGAACTTAAACACGCAATCTTACATAACCCCTTGCTTCCATGCGACTGCCTGCGGGGGCCTAGATCAAGCCCCCGCGCGCAACGTGAATGATAGGTCGATTCAGGAGCCTCAGCACACGCGTCTATCACTAAGCTGGGATCCTGCTTGCCACGGAACTCCCACCGGACCCCATGGTGTAACCAGAGTCACTGGCAGCCTAGGATGACCGTTATCTTCTTGATAACCTTATGAGCAACCGGATTGGAAGGATCGCCGTAGGTGCTCGTAAACATCGCCGTCCCCAGCAAGACCCGCTTCCTCGAATAAGGTCAGCTTGGCGAAGCGTGAAGGGCTAACACTTCTCCAGCCCTCGCTTCACTCGTATCTGCGTCTCAACAGTGAGGCTGCAAATCTGGTTATGAAGACGGTCTTGGGGGAGGAAAACGCCGGGCAAGCTGAATACTGTATAGCTAAACTACGCCTCGCGAAGACAGGGTTTCACCATCGGAAGGAAAAGCAACCAGGAGAATGTGTAGGCTCTTGTCTGACGAAAATGTTGTAACCACACGGAACAGACGGTGTGACGCCATCTATGCCGCTGTCACAAAAGTCCTCGGACCTGCGTGTCGACATAACAAGCTGGTTTGAGGGCAGTGACAAGAAAATCCGATGATTGCATGAAGCCTATGTGAACAGATGCAGTATCGCAAGCAAAACAGTTTTCGCGATGCCGACTGGCATTGAGGATGGGGGAGATGCAAAACAATTTTCTGAGGAAGTTCAGCGATGCACTGAACACTGGTGAACTAAGATTTGCAACCGTCAAGGCAGTTTACGGCCTCTAAACTGACGAAGCTACGTCGCCACTCCTCCCAGACGGAAATACTGCGCATTCAGAAGAACCACCCATTTTAAAGCGCTAAGTCGAAGACTTCAGGAGCCTCCTCAACTACCCATCTCTAACATGCAGGGAAGTAATCAACCTGCCTCAGGTGGAAACCAGTTCTGCCCCCGATGGTCACTCACTGTGTGGGAGACAGTTAGGGCATTGGGGCAGGTGTCCAGAAATAAGGCACTAGGTACCGACTCGATCTCGGCTGATCTAAAAAACAGTAGCAGTAAATTTTGGAAATCCAACGAGGTTTCGGGAACGCAACCATTATCGAATTTATAAAATCAAAAAAGGACCTGACGACTATGCAACAATCAGTTTTCCATCTCCTCGACACCGCCGGCGAAATCTATGCCCAATTCCCCTCCAACGTCAGACTCTAGACCTGGAGGAATCTAAACAATCTAGATAAACATGAATTTTGGATGTGACGAAAGGTTTATGCTGTTAGTCAGGCAACTTCAGTACGGTCTAATAACGTTTTACATGGACAATCGACGGACTTTTTGTGACAGATGGAGTGGAGTAAAGTTGCATTCCAGCCTGCATACTTGTCCTCTGCGAAGGTGATGAAAGCCTGTCGTGAGGAGGCACCAACTATTCAGAATTCGAAATGCAGATGGCGTCACAAAAATCCTCATGACCAGGATAAAAGAGGTCCGCGGCAACAGTCGTGCATTCGACACCGCAACTGACGCTAAGATCCAGCAAAGCCTTGAGCTTTAAGCATGCCTCAGATATAACCAATCGCGAAACAGACGGAACGTCAATCGCCCCACCTTGGATCAATAACTTTATCTTCGAAGCACCACGAAGCACCACGAAGCACCACCAGCGAACATTCAGCAGACCACAGTTCTCAGCATCAAACTTAGGATGTTTGTAAATCCGCTCTTGACGTTTACGACGGCACAGAGAGCTAGGAAATCTACCTAAAGTAGAATAGGATAGACCACTGTCGTCTAAGCCGTCTCCGAGGGATATTAAGGGAGGCCTCTGGAATCAATTGGCCTACACAGCTTACCTGCAATACTGAGATTTAAATCTGATGGAGCAAATGAATGGACAGTTATGCATGCCTGTCAAAATGACTCTTATTTGCTGAAATTGCTACTGACAGTTGTCACAGAGGCCAAAAGCCACGCTAGAAGGCCAAATTTAAGAAATCTTTGAAATTCCTCGAAAGAAATCAGGACAACGTGACGACCCGCCGTTGGAGTCAGTTGCATAAAAGCGGCGAAGGCAAAGCGGCAAAGAGAACCAAATATGTACCTAGCCTCAATCAGCATGCCCGTTGCCAGTGCATGGTTAAGACCCAAATTAGTCTTACCGTAAACCCGAGCATCTACCTCAGTGGAATTTCCCCCAAACCATTTGCATCCTCCGAGAACACCAACATCACCGAGTAAGTAGCTCCTGCTCTCCCACATCCTGACCGTGAAACTCAAGGTAACCTTTGTTTTCGAACCCATCTGCTTTGCCTGTGAGCCTTAATGGGACGCAGCCCGTTGCATCTCTACAATGAAGCTTATCACCACTGCAAGGCCATTAACGCAAACCAGGTGCGTAAAACACGGACTGCAGCTTGCTGTAACGTTGGGGTGCTATGTCGTCACATGTCGAATTACCCACCTTATTATGTAGTTAACAATACTAAGAGACGGAAACCCTGATGGGTGGAGGAGATGATATAAATGGAATCATTAAGCTCACTAATCACACGGACTTCACTCCTTATTCTATGATAGCAAGCTTTAATTAAAGTAGGCAACTATAATGCCATGTCGTCAAGCAGTGTAATCAATCAAAGAATACCCGAAGGACAGAAATAAACGCAGAAGCACATCGTAACCGATAACCTCCACCGTGTGCTCCACAGTAGGGTGGGAACAAGGACGGTGACTTGCGCGGGAGTTAGTTCAAAGCGGTGGTGTACTTGTGTTGCTTGTACCGCACTCCCTCCTCCTCCTCTCCCAAATGGATTCGGTGTCACGACAGAGTCAAGAATGCCGGAGGCGAGAGAGGATGCAGGTGGCTGGCACTGCGATAATCCTCACCTAGGCGTGCCACCCCACGCACACGGACCTGATTTTGTACACCAAGAGAAAAAGAAGTCCGGCGCGGATCCAAATCTGCATGGCGTGCCCCTCCAACTAGGCCTGCCGCCACACCCTCAAATCCTGATATTGTTCATGGGTGCACATTCCCGATAACGTCCGCCGGATCCCGGTCAAACCTCTGCATTGGTCCAGGGCATCTACCGCATCGCGCGTTTAAGGGGCACGATACACACACAGTTCGGCCGTCTACTTCAACAATGTCCACCGTGTGCTCCACAGTAGTGTAAGAGCAGAGACGGTGACTTGCCCACGCATTAGTTTATAGTGATAGTAGGCTTGCGTAGCGTCTACCACACTCTGCTCCCCCACCCGAGCCCGGTGTCATGACCACGTCTGAATGACCGGAGGCGGAAGAGGGCACAGGTGGCTTGCACGGCGAAAACGCACGTCTAGGTGTACCACCACAGATCCTGGCCCACAATGTACACTGACCAGGATTTTATACAACAAGAGGAGAAAGGAACGACTCGGATCCCCTGGAGTGGGAGTGCCATAGAGGCCATCGCAGCCTGACTCTCAGCCCACCAGACCGTCACTCCGCACAAGCACACACTGAGCCGACTGTGAGATCCGAGTTCTCCCATCAGTTGGTAACCTTCCAAGCGACGGCTTTTAGAGCAATGTGTCAGATTGTTTATAATGAGAAAAGTGCACTGAGTCGTCGACCACACTCTCATTTCGCACTGCCAGACACTGTCCGAGCTGATCAGCTGTCAGGTGCCGGACGTGGGCACAGTGACTGACATAGACAGTG